CATTCCTAAAACTTCTTTTTCAATGGTGGTGTAGTTCATCTCAGCTGAGTTGAGTCTTCGGCTTGTATAGTAGATTGGTCGGTCTTTGAGGTCTTTTGTGAGAAAGTATTGCTCTGATGGCATAATCAAAGGCATCAATGTGTATTGAAGTTTTTGTCCTAGTTTGGTTGGGTGAGTATTGGAGCCCTTGTTAAGGAATTCTTGAGCATGTCGAATGCTTGTTGGCAATCTTGAGTCTAGTTGTAGATGTGATTTTTCTTCAAAAGATCTATAAGGGGTTTTGCAATCTTCACATAATCTTTGATGAAGCGTTGATGGTATCTCATTTTGCCGAGGAAGGATCGTAGTTTAGTGGTGTTTGTTGGGTGTTGCATGTTGATGATGGCAAGAGTCTTAGCTTTGTCAATGAAGATGCCTTTTTGCAGATGATGTGTCCAAGTAGGATGCCAGATTTGACGAAGAAGGTAGATTTGTCAGGGTTTAAGGTGATGTTGTTCTCTTGACATTTGATGAAGCATTTCTCAAGGTGTTGGGGATGTTATTTTTTGCTGCTAAAGATGCTGAAGTCATCCATAAAAACTCACATGAAGTTGGTGAGGTAATATAGTGCTTTCAATCTTTATTCTACTCTTTCTAGACGCTTACCATGACTCTTCTATTCTAAACAAGTATATTGTACATTATCATGTGACTAAGAAGCTACACATGTCTTTTTATTAGTCAAAGATGTGATATGATATTATTCGATATATATATATAGCTATGTTTAATGCCAAATCCTAATGCCAAGATTAACACACAAAACGGAGCTAAACAGAGCCAAATAAAGTTTAGTGCTATTTTAGCATATCAGTGGCTTAACACAAAGATATGGGTACTCCACTAGCTAATATGGTATAGAACTTGGGTTAAACCGAATGCAAAATAAAAATAGGTATGCAAACAGAAGCTAGAGTATGCCTTAGGTTAATTGGCCATGCCTGACATACCCACAATCCCTACTACACATTTGGAACCTCGGAAAACATGCTTTAAGTTATCACCCTTAATACCAAGAGTTAGTATTTGGAATAAGCTTGAAACTTATTTAGTGAATATTAAAGAACCAAGCTCAATATAATGGGGGTTACATATGAGCTTCTCATACTGAGTCAAGTATGCTCAGCATAAAACATATAAGAGTTCCTATATTATGTTTATCTAGTATAAGTACATACATGATGACCAGTTTCTCAATTAGCTTGGGTGGAGATTGATAAAGAGTCTAGCAATACCAACCTCTTGCTGTCGTGGCAGTAAAGAAAAAATATCTGAAATGACTCATTCATAGGTAATTTTCGATACCTACAATCATATTCCCAACATTCATTAGGTTAATCCTCTAAAAATTGTGCATATAAAATAGCTGAAATACTTCATACAAAGGGATCATAAATAACTAGCTTCTATAGATCCACTAGTTCCTCCACCTAATATTCCTCCAAATCCCTATCAACCAAACAATTATAACTACTTTCCTTCCTTCCAAAAGGAGAGGATGATATAAGGTTCAAGTGTATGGTTACAATGCCATTTATATTATTACCGTAATGGGATTTTGATAGCCATTGAATTGGTTTCAATTTAGATCACTAATAATTGAATATACATATTTAGCTAATTGAATATGCATATTTTTATATTTTATGTCCATATTTCATGCACTTACAGATTTTCTTTTTATTTTGCTTTACAGAGTAAAGTCATATACCTAGATATCTAAATATATTCTTGGATATTCTCTAATCTAAGGGCTCTTAAACTTTCTCTAATTAACTTGTAATCAGTGTTTAAAGTTAATTGTCTAACTTATCACTAATGTAAATAATCTATATTGAAAAACTATTAACACTTATTAACACTAACATGTAACAGAATGCCAATTTAAACCTTAAAAATAAATTTAAAATTAACATCATTAAGCCCTCCACACTCATGGTTTCATTCTGTAATATAGAGGGCACAAAATCCAGCCATCTAAGATTGATGGCCTGATGGTTAAACACAAAAGAACTTAAGAGAGTTAAACATTGTTCTAGCTATTTAAAAACTAAAGACTAGTGGGGACACCATTTCTCACCATTTGTCCTGAAGTGCAATAGCTAGCAATTAACATTATGCAAATTCCTCAATCTAAACAAGTGCCTAGCCTCATTAGTTGTTATGTTTAGCATTCAAGTATGTTAAGAAATATATTAGAATATACATTGTGATATATTTTAGATAGCACAAAAAATAATTTAAAAAGAGGAGTAGTGTATTTTAAATAGTACAAAAAATTATTTAAAAAGAGTAGTACTCAATGGAATTTAAGGATTGGTTCCTCGAGGTATAGAAGATAGACAGATAAAATTGATGGATCAATTCCTCTCTCTCTCTCTCTCTCTCTCTCCATTTGTTTGTTTCTTTCTATGATTTTGCAGAGTCCTCAAAAAAAGGTACTTGGCATTGAGGTTCCACCATAGGCAAAAAGAAACTCTGTTGATCTTTTATAGGGAAACGTTTTCCTACAGGCCTTTCTGAATTGAATCCACGGAACCTGGAAGTCAAAACAAGAGAGTAGCTTCAGAACACTTAAAAGCTCACCCCTGCAAGTTCTGTTGTGGTGAGTGAATGGTCAAAGGTGCGAATATTCTCTCTACAAAAATTTGAATAAGTTTTTCTACATTTCCATGGAATACGAGTCATTTTTTAGGGTATCATGAAGAAAACACTCATTCTTGATCTAGACAATCCACTGGTATACGCTCATAAGGATCTCGTCTCTTCTGTAGATGTCAGCATGGAATTTGACGATGATGCACCACTCCACATCATGAAGAGATTAGGTGTAGATGAATTTCTGGGGAAGGTTTCAAATGTGTACGATATCGTGGTGTTTAGTGCCGCCCAGGAGAAGTATGTCAACCTTGTGGTTGACCATCTGGATCCTACTCGGAGGCTTGTGTAGAGGAGGCTACATGGTGGCAATTGTGTTGTTCTAAAGGACGGGATGAAAGTCAAGAATCTTGACCATGTAGGGTTTCGGGATTTCAAGCGGGACTTCTTGGCAGATGTAGCCCCTTTCCTTCTTGCCCTGCCAAAGTGTGTGGACTTTACTGAAGTTACCCATCGCTGGAATATTGGACAATGTGGAGAAGCAAGGCAAATTGTACATCCCAGATCCATTCGATGATGAATGGGTTGTGTTTAACTGACTATTGTATTTTGTAATATATGTTATAATTTTCCCCCCAATAGTTTATGGAAGTGACTTTTGAGGATTTCCTGCATGTCTTGTGTAAAACAAAATGGTAAAACAAGCCAAAAGAACACCAAGTTTTCAAGCTCTTCTGCTTCAAAAGTGTATCATCCTAGTAATGAGCTCACAACTTTTGCTTGACCGAGCCTGAAAGAGATTGGAAAAAAAGAGCTACCTCCTGGTACTTGATACATTAGGCAAACATGAAGGCAAAGAAGACCGGGAAGCCGACCAAGACACCCGCAACAACACCCAAATGTCATGTCGTAGCCAAAGTAACTCTCCACAAACGCCTTGACAGTCATGTATCACACATTGGGTGTCATGAGGCGCACAAGATCATTTGCATACTGGGATGCGATCCAGCCATACAAATCCAATAGTGATCCACATTCTTGGAAAGTCCAAGAAAAAGCAAAAAGCTGTTTATATCCAACTTAGGTTTGGTGGTCAACACTAAACCAAAAACAATGAAGATGAATAGGACGATGTTATTGTCCCTGCCCTACAAGTATTTTTACGTGTTTTCGTTTGCAGCAGAGGAACCGCGGTACTGAATATCCACATTCTGGTATTGAAATTAAGCTGGTCACTTGAGCGATTAGTTTTTAGCTGATCAAAACGGTTGTAATGTACAATGTTTAAATCGTGATTTTCATTTGTGAATACTTTAGTGTTCTTAATTTGGATTTTCTTTACATTTCGCTTTATAGGTATAAAGAATATACCTAAATATCTAAGTATATTCTAGAATATTCTCTAATCTAGCAACTTTAAAGTTTTCATATAAAAAACTATGAAGTTCTTTATTTTGCCTCATATCTAGAACTGGAAGAGTATCAAGTAAAATTTGAAAAACTATATAAAACTGAGAAACTCTATATTATCCTATAAATTACAAGGATTAACACTGACAAAGAGTCTAAAATTAACATCATTAATCTAGAGGGCACAAAATCCAACTTCTGGACGTGTTTTAAGATTGATGTCATGATGGTTAAACACTAAACAACTTAAAAGAGTTAAAGTTTGTTCTAGCTATTTGAAAACTTGCCTCAATCTAACCAAGCACCTAGCTTCATTATTTGTTATTCTTTGCATTCAAGTATGCAAAGAAATCAGTGGAATTTAACGATTGGTTCCTCAAGGTATGAAAAAAACAATGGCTAGCATATTAACATTAATATTCAATACTATTCAAATGCCTCAATCTAAGGAAGCACCTTCATTATTTGTTATTCTTCACATTCACGTATGCTAAGAAGTCAGTGGAATTTAACAATTGGTTTGGAAGAAACAAGAAACCTGGATCAATTCATCTCTCTCTCTCTCTCTCCATTTGACTCTTTCTTTCTATAATTTTGCAGACTCGTCAAAAAGGTACTCGGCATTCCTGTAGGAAAACGTTTCCCTGTAAAAAGGTCAACAGGTCAAAGGTGCGAATATTCTCTCTACAAAAATCAACAATCCCGCCATTTTCTTCATCGCATCTCCCGAGAATTGGGATAGCTCTCCAGCTTCCACTCGATCTCTGCCCACTTGAGGTGAGATGCATGGACCCTACAAGAAGCCAGCCGTGGACACCACGCTGTTGCATCTCCCGTCAATGTGCTGTTTACCAATCCTGTTCCTTGAACCGAACCTGACTACAAGAATGTCGGAAGCCCTTGAGTTGTTCAGCAACCTTGATCGAGAACAACTCGGCCTGGCAGAAATGCAATGAACTGGCAACGAATTCATATTTCTGAATCGAAATCAGCATGCTGAAAAAGACCAAGACTACAAAGATGACAAAAAGGAGCAAGTAAATCTAAACAACTACAACGATCAGCTGCAAACAGACATGTTAGAAGCCAAGCAGAGAATCAGAGTAATGAAAGAAACTCACCAAACAGATTGCCAGGCAGGATCGCAGAGGATGTCGCGCGCGGATGGACGCTGGTCGCGTCTTGCTGCGACCAGCTCCAACACCTTGGGCGCAATTGATGGGTGTTGGTACGCCCAGTCTGCTGGTAAAACGCCATCCCGGACGTCAATCAATACCGACTCCCTTTCCTACACAGATTCACCGAACTAAGCAAGCACGTTGCACAAACTGCAGCCAAACCTGGTCCGGGGGACACCTCCAATGAAGTTCGAAGAGTATAACTCCAAGCGCAAGCATGTCAGTGTAGGTTGAGTTGCTCCGGCGCTGGGGAGAGTAGTAAACTGCTCTCCCCTTCTTGATATTTTCGGTCTCGAGCATGGACTCCTTATTTTTAGCTGTAAGCCAACAAATGAGAGATGGAAGAGATGTTTCATTTGCCTACCAAGACCGAAATCTCCCAGCTTGATGCGTCCATCGTCTGTGACGAAGATGTTGTGTGGTGCTATATCCCGATGAACACCCACGTTGTCGTGCACATGCGCCACAGCTTGAAGAAGCTGCCTAAACGCATCTGCAGGTGGTGACTCACCGCCGAGGAGCACCGACTGGAGCGAGCGGCCACAAAACTCCATGACAATGTACACTTTCGACTTGCCCGGCTCGCCTTCCTCCTTCCACATGTCGAAGTATTCGACTATGTTGGGGTGTTCGCAGCGCTGGAGCATCTCTCCCTCCTTGAAGACGAGCGCGACATCCTGGTCTCTGGACTTCGTTGCTGTGCGAACCTTGATGACTTTGATGGCGTAGATTTGTTCGTCCTCCTTGCTACGGCACTTGTATACTTTCCCGGACGCCCCCTGGCCAACACAAGCGAGCACTTCGTAGCTGCTGCAGAAGCGGCCTGGACAAGAGAGACAAGGGGCCACTCAGAAGCGAAAAGATGCCAAAGAGACAAATTATTGTATCCACCTGCTGCTGCAACTGGAGTCTCCCCTCCCTTTTGGATCGATTCCACGATCCCGGTCACAACATTCGCCGAGAGCATCTTGAATCTCTCCAAGCGTTGCGCCATTGCGAGGAATTGCCGAACATATTCTGCAAGTCATGAATCAAACCAGCAAAGAGTCGTGTCAGCCAACAAAAGGAATTCCTCGTACCAGCGTCAGGAGCAGCCTGCAACGCGGATGCATCATGATCAGTTTCTCCTGCTCCTGCTTCAACGAGGATCTTCATCAGACAAGTGCAGATGTTTCAAGTTTTGACCAACCTGATCGAGCTCGGTTAATCGGATCCAGTGGGCGGGTCCTTTCGAGCATGACGTCGGATCGCTTCTGAGTGTGTAGTTTCTTCGGACCAGCAGCTCTCTTCCTCTCCATGGTGGACTCTGGTCAGTGTTAACATTGTGAGTCGTTGCTGAAAGCACAAAAGAGATTGAGGAGTCGTTACTGCACTTATCCAACGGCTGGAGCCTAGAATGCGCACATCAGCTGTCCGTCAATGGATTCACAACAAACTTGCTACAATTGCATGCTCCTTCCGCCTCGCCAACAGTAGGCCGCAAACCAGCAGCGCACTCACCTCTGCCCTTGCCAGACGATCACGGCAGCCCTAGATTTGGAATCTAAGCTGCATTGAGGATCGACGCGCTCCTCCGGCTCCCTTGGGCTTTGCCAATAGTAGGGTACAAGAATACAAAAGGCCAAGTCGGATAGAGTTTAGGGCAGACGTGGCACCTTTGGTCACCTTTTGTGGCCCTTCTTCACTTCCACGGAATACGAGTCATTTTTTAGGGTATCATGAAGAAGACACTCATTCTCGATCTAGACAATACACTGGTATACGCTCATAAGGATCTCGTCTCTTCTGTAGATTTCAGCATGGAATTCAATGATGATGCACCACTCCACATCATGAAGAGACCAGGCGTAGATGAATTTCTGGGGAAGGTTTCAAAAGTGTACGATATCGTAGTGCCGCCCAGGAGAAGTATGTCAACCTTGTGGTTGACCATCTGGATCCTACTGGGGGGCTTGTGTCGAGGAGGCTACATGGTGGCAATTGCGTTGTTCTAAAGGACGGGACGAAAGTCAAGAATCTTGACCATGTAGGGTTTCGGGATTTCAAGCGGGTGGTGGCACTGGATGACATTATTGACTTCTACCAAGGTCATCAAGAGAGCGTGGTGGTGGCTCCAAAGTTTGAGGGGTCAAAGGATGACCACTTCTTGGCAGATGTAACCCCGTTCCTTCTTGCGCTGTCAAAGTGTGTGGATTTTACCAAAGTTACCCATCGCTGGAATATTGGACAATGTGTGGAGAAGCAAGGCAAATTGTACGTCCTAGATCCATTCGATGATGAATGGGTTGTTTTAAACTGATTATTGTATTTTGTAATAAATGTTATAATTTTTCTGCCAAAGTGTAGTTTATGCAAATGAATCTTAGTGAACTTTTGAGCTTAGGATTTCCTACATGTCTCATGTAAAACAAAATGGCAAAACAAGAAAAACAGCACACCAAATTTTCAAGCTCTTTTGCCAAGGAAATCCCCTTTACATTGAGAGCCCACAGCTTTGCAACACCCCATGAACACCAATAGGAGCACGTGCCCACCTCAAACAACAAGCGAGACTTCAAAAAGGACATCACTGATCCAACATTTGATGCCGGAGGATAAGATGCTTAGAAGACTGATTGCTTCTGAGTTCTTTTATGTCTGTTGTTTAGTGCCTATGTGAAGCTATTGACAAAAATGTGATGATCCATATGAAGCTCTTCACAGGATCATGGAGAGAGAGAGAGAGAGAGAAAGAGAGAGAGAGAAAGTGTCTTTGGCATGACATCCAGCGAAGTAGCAAGAGGAGTGATCGCGGTGCCTCCTGCAGGCATCTCCACGCCAAATCGCGACTCTTCTGCACCAATGTGGTGATTCCAAGTCCCTCCCACGAGGGAAGCTCTTGCACCGCCGCCTGGCCGCCACCCTCGACCTACGCCACCACCCCTTGTTCAGCAATCTCCTCATCCTCATGTATGGCAAGTGCTCCAGCCTCCCGGACGCATGGTCCGTCTTCCACGATCTCGTCCACAAGAACGCCTTCTCCTGTAACATCATGATCTCGACGCTCTGCGCAAACGGCCAGAGCGCGCAAGCGATTCATCTCTTCCTCGCCCTCGCCAGCGATTCAGTCGTCCGCCCCACCCACGTCTCGTTCGTCGCCGCGCTCGCCGCCTGCGCCAATTGCCCCGATCTCCAGTCGGGCATCCGGATCCACGCCCAGATCGTCGCCGCGCCACCCGCGATCGCGAGCAATCCAGTCGTGTGCTGCGCCCTCTTAACCATGTATGGGAAATGCGGCAGCCTGGCAGACGCGCGGAAGGTCTTTGATGACATGCCGCGCAAGACGATAGTCGCCTGGAGTGCGATGCTGGCTGCTTGCACCAGAAATCCCGATCAGGGCGGGCTCCCCGCTGCGATCGAGCTCTATCGCCAGCTCGGGGATGCCGGCATCGGTGCGGACTGGAACACTGCGATTGCCGCAAATGCCCATAATGGGCAGTTTAGAGCGGCGATTGCGCTGCTGTGGAAGTTGGATCTGGAAGGGATCGGGCCTGATATGGTGACGCTGACTGAGATCCTGGCAGCGTGTTCTTGGAAGCAGGATAAAGCACAGGGTATAAAGATCCACGGAGCGTACTTGCTCGTGTGGCTGGGAGCGTAATGTTGTCGCTGGAACCTCTATCGTCAACATGTATGGAAAGTGTGGCAGAATCAAGGAAGCATCAAGGAAGGAAGCAAGAATCTAAAATTATTTTTTGTTTATCATGGCCTTTATAAAAAAAATTAAAATATTTTTCTTTTCATAATTTATATACCTTTATTTATATGTTGTTATATTCCATGTAGTTTCAATTTGAACCATTTGCTTTTGTATATAAATTAGAATTTTTGGGATAATTGATATACACATTTTATGTATTCCCTATCCATATTCCATGCACTCACATTATTTTATATTTTGTGCACTCACATTGGTGGAGGTGAGGGGCACCTTTGATTATTCTTGAAAAGTGGTTAGATTTGAGATTTTGGTTTAGATTTAGCTTTTGCATTGTCTAAATTTAGCTTTTTCCATTTTTTTCTTTTATTCTTTCCTTTTGGCATTTTGGTTTAGATCTAGCTTTTGCATTATTTATATCTCCCTTTCCTTCTAGCTTTTTTTATTTCATTTCTTTTGCTCTTTCTTTTTCATTCATCTTTATGGTAGAGCAGTAGTCTCTTCCTCCTTTAACTTTGGAATAGCATTTTGTACAATTGCTTAATGTTATGTGATTGTAGTTGAACAACCAAACTCAGTTGATGGCAGTATTCATAACACATGGTACAACTCTTATTGCTCTTGGTGCCAATTCTTATGTTCAACTAGAGTTCTTTTATGGGAATCTTTAGGGACAATGTATACTATTGGTTCAATCACTTCATAGTGATTGCCATATATCATTCTTGGGATGATACTCGATGTTTGTGTGAGTTTCCCACATGTTTCCAAGGGATGGCATTGTAGTGGTATAATGGTTTGAATGTAGCTATTCGTGGGGATTAGAGTATTCTTCAAGACGTCTTCAAACACACATTTGGATATGTCAACAATTGTGATGATACTTTCCAACAATTGCATCGTCTTTGTTAAGGACCATCTAAATTGGTGATGCAATTTAGCATTTGTTTTCATAGCCTTTTGCTTCATGCGGAGCCAAATATGTTGGAGCGGATCAAACTAGGAATGTTGTGGCCAACACTTCGTCAAAGTTTTATAGGACTTGTGCATGCACTTGCTCGAACGACCTCTAACAATGCTTTTTGTTTGGCACAACATTATGAGACATTGCCTTTTCCACTTCTCGCTACACATCTTTTAGCTCCACTTTCTGTGGGAGATGGTATTGTTTCAATGGAGGTTGATGTTACTACTGCTCAGGTTTAAGGACAAGGGTGAGGATGTGATCATAGTTGTGATATTCGCTACTGAGCATGTAATGAAGTTGGTCACATTTATCAGTATTGTCAGCGTTTTCCGAATTGGTAGCTTCTATTTCTTGGGTGGAGACTTTAGCATCAACAATGTCTTGTTGGTATTGTTGCAGTGAAAGGTCTAGACATCGAGATGCATCCAGGAAATGAGGAGTCGTGTGAGTAATGGAGGGACCTTGCACGAATAAGTCAATGACCCCTTTATCTTTCTTTTGGAAGTATCATCAAAAGGTTCATTCGGCATCAGTTCATCTAGTGTTTGCTTTCCAAGCTTATTTTTATAACAAAAGGTCTTTTATTATTCTCTTTGTATTGATTCATACATGTTCAAGTTTATCTTCTATTGCTCGACTTGTTGCCATATGTTACCACCTATATTTGTGTCATGCAGCAGAGTCAGTTTTCATTCTTTATGGCAATGGCCATACATATGCATATGCACGGGATGAAGTGAATTTAGTTGTGTATATAGGTGATCTTGAACTTGGACTGCAGTCATTGCCAGTGGTGTCGAGTTAAGCTTTTGACTTCATCCTTGGTATGGGCACAATCATGCTAAATGTGACTTTGAGGCTTCTTCCCCTTGTCTCATACTTCCTTATATTTTATCCATTCCTTTCATTTCGAAACATGTTTGTCCCTTTGCTTCTACTTCTACTTTCATTACTTTTGTCTCCCTATTATTTCCTTTTATATTTCCGTTTTATTCTGCTTTTCCCTTTTTCAATACCTCGGTTGACAAGCTCATGAAGGAGTATGCCAATCTCTTTGAGTTTCACCTATCGTCTGGGGCCAAGATTGCTATATGTCATCTGATTCCAACCAGGGATACTCATCCCATCAAAGTTTTTGTTCATCATCAATCACCCAAAGAGATCAAGATTTTACATGCAAACGTCAAGGAAATGTTGGAAAAGGGTGCTATTCAAAAGTCACGGAGTCCTTGGGCATATGAACCTCATCTTGTGACGAAGCCTAATGCGAGTATTCATTTCTACATCGATTATCATTCGTTAAACAAAATGACGATTTTAGATGTGTATCCTCTTCCTCACCTATTGATTTCTTAGATCATCTAAAAAGAAGTTGTTAGTTCACTAAGTTAGATCTTGCTTCTGGGTAATGGCAAATACTAATGGGCGAAGAAGATATTCCTAAGAATACTTTTTATACACCATTTAGTTTGTATGAGGTTTTGGTGATTCTGTTTGGTTTGAATAATGCTTTAGCATTTTTCTAACAAATGATGGATGGGGTTCTTTGTGATATGTTAAAGGTGATTACTTACTTCATTAGTGATGTTTTGATCCACTCGAAGGGGATATGTGTCGCGAATATGACTTCAGGTATCGAAAGTTACCTGTCAGCTAGTCCTTTCTGATATTCTCACCTTACTGCCACGACAGCAGGAGGTCGGTATTGCTGGACCTTTTATCAGTCCCTCTTGTGCTAGTGGAGTTAACTGGGCATTTCGAGTGTACTTAGACCAGATGAGCATAAGGACGGAATTCCTACGTGTTATTAGCTAAGCATACTTAGCCCGGTAAGGAGTTCCCATCTCGTTTTGTCTTGCACTTGCTAGTGACAAGAACCCTCGCGTATTGAGATTAGTCCCTCAATATCGCTATATGATAGCTTACCGTGTCTGCCAAACACCCTCGCTA